GCATGAGTCTTGAAAGAAGAGCTCTCTTGTGCTTCACATGTAAACTAGACCAAGATAAGTTTCATAATTGGAAGAATCTCTGTTAGGAAATCCTAGAGAGGTTCAACGACAGCCAGACCACCCTCTACACCAATGCTTCTTAAACATTAAACAAAGAGGGTTAGTAACATAATATAGTCAGGAATTTGAACTAATGGCATTGTGATTAGAGGAAAACTAGAGAAACTTCACGAAAATACATTCCTCAAAGGATTGAAGTGAGAAATCAAGGCCAAAGTTAATTTTCTCAAACTAAAAGAACTGAAGGCGATGATGCATGCGACTTGGAAGGTTGAGACAAAGATCTTAAAGCAACAGTCCATAGAATTAGGAGGAAGAACTAAGGTGGGTACAAATATTCCTTAAGAAATTTCGTTGAGAGACCATGCATTGTATTGACTCCATAAATAAAGAGTAGATATGCCCAAAGACTATGCTACTCATATAATGAATGAGAGGGATGGCCACAACTACTGTTGTAAATGCAAGCTTCATATCCTATGAGTCAAAGAAGATGTCATTAAAATATTAGAGCACATCAAGGATGGTCTAATGCCACTGGAATATGCAGCAGATAAAGAATCATCTAACATTGAGTTTGCAGCCAACGCAATGTCAAAAGAAAATCGGTTTGGTTCATTTAAATTGACAAAATCCCTTCAAACGTGAATAATGATGGTCTTAGTTGAGAATGGTGCCACACACAATTATACAACTAGACAGGAAACTCCCTAGAAGCAAATTTCAATTACTTCTATTACATACTTCTGAGTCATCTTCACTAGAGACAAGATGCATAACAAGGGCATATTAGGAAGTTTTAGTCAAACAACAATCACTCACTATTGTCAAATAGTTCTTACTTCTGCCCTTGATGGATACATACATTGCAATTAAAATGTAATGAATGAATTCAATGAGAAGTGTCATCTTTGACTAGAACAACATATCTTAATTGTGATGAAGGGTCTTCAATAAGTTATTCTTTTCATGATCTCCAACTGGCACCATAAGACATCTCCTTCCAAATTCTGTCCAAGGCGCTCAAATATAAAAATGAAGTAATGATTGCATTCTACAAACTCATCTACACCCTAAATGGCTAGGATTTGATCACACAATATTCTGAGGACCATCTTCGTAAATAATTTTCTGATGACTTTAATGATATCTCATGGATGCCGCTTAACAAAGAAATCGATCAATACACTCTAATAGAGCCAATCCTTAACCCATTAAGGTATGCCCATTTCACTATCCACAAGTTTAGAAATCTGAAACTGAGAGGTCTATTTGTGACATGTGCAGCACCAGTGTCATTTGCCACTCCACCAAACCTTACTCTTGCCCTAATCTACTAGTGAGGAAGAAAGATAAGACCTGATGCTTCTACATTAATTACAAAGTACTCAACAAAATCACCATCTTAGATCACTTCTTGATACTTATTGTGGATGAGTTGCTCGATGAACTGTATGATGCCATCATCTTGTCAAAAAATGATTGAAATTAGGATACCATTAGATTTGCATTAAGGAGGAAGACATACCAAAAACTACATTTCGAATCCACAAAGATCACTACAAATTTATAATGATGTCTTTTGAACTCTATAATACTCATATAACCTTCTAAGCATAATGAATATGATCTTCTAGGAGCCTCTTTCCAAATTTATCTTCATTTTCTTTGACAACATTTTATTTTTCAGCTCTAGGAAAAAGAAACAAGGACATCACTTGACTTAGGGTTTTTTCCCTACTCACTGATGATCAGTTACATGTTAACCCAAATAATTATATTTTTGGTCAAAAAAATATCAAATATTTAGGCCATTAGGTATCAGCCTATGGAATGGAGGTAGATCAAGGAAATGTTGAAGCCATTTGTGATTGGCCTTCGTCCAAGACCTTGAAGTAGCTACAAGGATTTCTTGATCTAATCAACTATTACCACTAATTCATCAAGGGATACAGATCATTGACACAACCTCTCACCCAACAACTTAACAAGGATTCCTTCAAGTGGAGAGCAGATGCGTAAGCACATTCATTCATCTCGAAAAAGACCATGATGACTATTCTAGTCTTCACCATCTAAACTTCTCAAAACTATATGAGTTAGAGGCAGACACCTCTAGAATTAATCCAGAATTAGTGGGTTCTCTTGTAGCATCGCCAAGTATCACATTTCTTCAGCCAAGTTTTTTTTGCATCAAGTTGACTAAAATCAATTTATAAATGCAAGTTAATGGTCATAGCCCTTGTAATATTGAAATGGAAGCATTACCCAATTAAATGTAAATTCATCATTTACACCAACCAATGGAACCTCAAATTCGTCATAGACTATAAGCAAATGCCCAATTATTAACACTAACTTCGAATTATTAACTTTGATTTTGAGATCCAATTCAAGGAGCCTTTAGACTAGAAGCTCATCTGAACTAAAGTTACTTGACCACAATTTCTCGATATAAGTAAATTAGTAGAAAATCAAGTCAATCCATAACAAAATTTTTGTAAGTTTTTAGAATTCTGACTACATCAAGGTCTCTTACTCCATCAAGAATAATTCGTTCTCTCAAAAAACTTAACAATCATTTCTTGACTCTTGTGATAATTCCATAATTCAGCCATTGGCAGCCACAACCCTACGAATGGATTAGTTATAATGTTTACTACTTGGGAATTAAAGAAACAATCATTGAATGTTCAATTTGCCAAAAGAACAAGTCTGAATCTCTATCCCTAACAGGGCTTCTCCAATCACTTGACGTTCTACAAAGGATATAAGAAAACATTTATATAAACTTCATCAAAAGATTGTCTAAATCTGAGGGGTTTAGTATCATTTTGGTCACTATGGATTGCCTCAAATATCAATTTTCAGCTTCCAACATCACACAAGTTTTACTTCAATACATCACCTACTTATATATTTTTTCAGCCTCAATCTTCATCAACCACGATCAAATGTTCATGAGCCTATTTTGGTGTGACATATTTAAATGACAAGATACTTATCTATATCAGAGCTGTGGGTACAACCCTCATACCAATAGTTAAATTGAGGTGGTCAATTGTGGGCCTGAGACATTTCTCTAGCATTTCTATGGTGACATACCTCACTAATGGAGTAGATGGCTTAGTTGAGTTGAGTTCTAGTACAACACCAACTATTATTCTTTCATAGGGATGACCCCGTTTAAGGCCATCCATGGAAATGATCCTCTGACCTTGCTTCCCTTTGGACACTTTTAGTCAATAATGGACACAATTGATCACCTCCTCATCAAGAGAGACACTATGCTAGATCAACTCATGGGCTCTTTGAGTCAAATACAAGCCAAGGCCTATGTAGACTGAAGGTTCTATGATGTATAGTTTTAAATGGGTAATACATTTTATTTACATTTAAGACCCATTATTGCATTTTCTTGATAGGCACTCATATGAGAAGTTATCTCCCTAATATTTCAACCCTTTGAAAATATTGGAGCACATCAAAGCTATCACTTGTTGATTTGAGCTGCTGACTTCAACTAGGATCCAACCAATATGCCACATCTCTCAGTTGTGCTACACTCTTAGAAACTTCTCATAAATTCAGCATTTATCTTCGTGGTTGGATGAGAATGCCATATGGGTGATGACCCTAAAATACCTTTTTTAGGTGCAACAAAAACTGGATGATCTTGAGGTCCTAATTTAATGGGATAGGCTGCCAGACTCAAAAGCCATCGAAGAGAATGCATGGAAGATGTGCCTCCAATTTCTCAATTTTCCCTTGAGGACAAAGTGGTTTTCTTAGGGAAGAGTATTATTGATCCTCTCATTTTCTAGCCCATCACAACAGGGTTGTCAAGCACCAATGATAGGCAAGGGACTGTAGCTGGGCAAGTCACAACTTCCATAGAACTTAAGGGACTGTAGGAGAATTAGAAGGATGTCAGTTAGAGAGATTCATATATGGAAATTTGCTAAATAAATACCTTTATAATTGGAGGCAGAATGAGGGGGGAGGAGGGGGAGAATTCTAAAGGTCAATCCCCTTGAAGTGATCATTCTATATTGAGAGGAGTCATGTCATGTTGTGGAGGAGTTTGAGTCATTGTCCTGTCCAGGTCTTCTATTGTGTTCCTTCTAGCTTGTTCTTCTCTTTTGTGGTCGATTCTGGAACAAAAGTCTCCAATCCGCCCTGCCGCAGATTTCCCTCACCTTTATTTGGAGTGATTCGAAGAATTAATCTTTTTGAGCAAGGGGGTTCCATCAAACCATCCCCAGCTGGGCTACACCTCCTTTTTGGTGGGTTTCACTTTGGCAGCGAATGCCGCTCAAGGCATATTTGTCTGCCCCCAGAATAGGTATCCCTTTTTCTCCCTCTTATGCAGGTCGTAATATCCTCTTGTGGGCACAGTACCCCTTAAAAGAGAGAGAGAGAGAGAGAGAGAGAGAGAGAGAGAGAGAGCGGTCCAGGGCTGTCGATGACTCTGAGGGAGGCCACCGTCAGCATCTTCCTGGCTCCGCTATTGTTCGTCTCTGAACGGGCGCGACGTTGACGTCTAGGGGGATAGCGGAAAGAAGAGGCTGCCGAGCTAAGAGATGGTGGCAGAAAGATAACGGAGCGTCTGCATGTGGAGGCTGGGGATCGTTGAGCGGTGTCGCCGTTGCATGGGCGTGGTAAGATCCCGGTTTAAGGATCTCTTACGGATTGACCTTCGGGGGGGACGTTGCTCGTTAGGTACCTATTCTGATCAAAGAGTGGAGCAAAGTGCGGCCTTCCCGAGTTAGGGCGGCCCACATTGTGGGTTTCGTACATCACCATGGTTCTTCGTCTTCGTCTTCTTCTGACGTAAGCCCTTTTGATGAGCTGGACGAAATCAACAGGAAGAAGAGGAGAAATCAGCAGGGATCAATTGTACCGGGGGACTCTTTCTCCGGCGAAAGCAAATGATATCCCTAGGGACGTGTCTTGTTCGAAGTACCCTTCAAACCCAGACTGCAGATCTCGTCGTACGACGGCGCATCCCAGCTGGCGGACCTCCGACATAGTTCCCGAAAACCCTCGACGCAGGTCGCCATGTCGAGCGAAGCAACTCGCCGCCTGGTCGCCGCCGCCTCTTCTCCGGCGACCTCGTCGAAGACGGCCTCCCACCCATTTTCCCATCCGCCGGCAGCATTACACAGCTCCAAGCTCCCGTTCCTCCACTCCGTCCAGCTCCACCCAGTCTCCAGAGTCTGCATCACCTCCGCTACGCACTGCCCCACACACGCCGGCCGGCACGGCCGGCACTTGGCGCCGCTCATCGGCCCGTGGCTCCCCACGGAGACCACCGGTACGTCGTACATCACCGGCGGGAAGGCGTACCGGCGTTCGCTCAGCACGCAGAACGGGAGGTGGTGCTCCCGATACGCGACGCGGGCGGTGTGCAGCTGGGCCTTGAAGGCGGACTCCGAGTTGAGGCTTCTGTAGCCGGCGGCGTCGAGGGAGGGGATGAGGGAGAGCCGGGAAAGAGCGGCGCGGGAGGTCCGGCCATCGCCGGAGCCGAAGCGGTCGTTGAGGCCACCGTAGCGGGAGCCCTCGGGGACCAGGTAGGTTCCGGGAACGAAGCTCCCCGGGCCGAGCGGCGCCGACCAGTAGCCGTCCACTCGGGTGCGGACGATCCAGTCGTAGGAGAAGTTGCGCTTCGACTCCTGATTCCTGATCATTGGGAGGCATCCCTCCACCATATTGAAGTACTGCAGAAGCCCCTGCGTGCGAAGAACCCATGGACAGAACCGCCTTGAAAACCTGCTCTTAGAGTTTAATGCTATCCGCTTCTACCGGTGGCCTACCTGGATTCCGTTGGGCGATCCGCTGGAGGAGAGGACCCGGATTTGCGACTCGGTCTCGGGGATGTTCTTGGGGACGAAGATGCGAACGGCGGCGACCCGCGGGGCGGCGGCGAGGAGGGAGAGCTTGAAGGCGTCCCGGTCCAGAGGGCTGTGGAGGAAGAGGTCCGCGTTGAGGTACTCCTCCAGTATGTTCTTCAAGATCGTCGGCCCCGTGAGCTCGAAGTGCCGCGCGCCACCGACGAGGCAGATCGCGATCCGGGCCCGGTCCAGCTCCGCCTTCCTCTTGAGCCCTGGGCCGAGGTCTGGCGGAGGGGAGGAGGAGAAGGGATTCACGAAGGAGGTGATAGGCGAGAGGGAGGCGACGAGGGCGGCGCTGGGGTAGTGCAGCGGCAGGAGGAGGTAGAGGAGGGATAGAGGGCCAAGGAGGATGAACGTGAAGCGCCTATCTATGCCCGCCACCCATTTCGCTACCACTCCGCCGAAACTGTGGGGCTGCTTCGCCTGGTGAACTTCGCTGCACCTAGACAGAGAGCGGCGCGCTCGGGAAGAAGGGACGACGAGGATGTCCGGCGGATCAGTGGAGATTATCCTCGAGAGTGGAGGCACCCGAGAAACCATCTCTCCGTCTGGTGGAGGGAGGCAGACGAAGAAACAAAGATGGCTGACCCCGGGCTCCCTTGACGTTCGTTCCGAGAAGGCGAGTTGACCATGAAATGGAAGGGAACAAGAGAATTGTCAACTAATAATAATAATAATAATAATTAGTATTATAATAAATGCTTCATTATTAACATTAGGGGATCCTGCGAAGACACGTAAGAGGCGAGCAGACAACAACAATCACCATTTTACATAGAAGTCCTACTTCAACGTTTGAAAGACTTCTACACCTGTCCTGGTTTTTATGATAAGCGGGCCTTCCCCTGCACGGTCTTGTTCTGGGAACGAATTCCCCTCCTCTTTTTTTAATTAGATTTGGCAACCTGATGCTGCTCATTGGTGGGCGTCTCCACGTACCTGACGGAAGACGGAACAGGGTGAGGGGTCCTTTATGTAGATTTGGACTAAAGCCCTCCTTATTCATTAATGGTCTTTTTATATCCCCATCGAAGATTTTAATACTACTTTATTTTATAAAAAAATATTCACAATATAAATTCGAGAATCAATTCACCACCGCCAATCCCCACCAGACGCCGCTGCCAGGTGGCGGAATCGAAAGCGGGGAGAGGGGCGCCCTCACAGGGCAAGCGGGTAGTGACGGCTATTCTTGGAGTATAAATAATTTTTCACGTTGGTTTAGATATGACCGCAGATATGAGATATTAGCGTCTTCTTGGATCCTGCTTTCTATTAGGTTTTGCGAAATTAACGCGTTTTTGGTGGGTAGTAGATGGGTACTTCTGAATTAGAGAGAGGGAGTGTGTGTGAGAGTGAGAGTCTGTGCGTGTGTGTGCGTGAGAGAGAGAGAGAGTGAGAGAGAGAGAGACATCCAAACCAAACGCACTTATGTACATCAGAACCACGCAGCTCAAGGGGAGTTTCTCTCTCTAAGAAACACACCACACAAACCAAAAAGAATCGGGCTAAAAAGAATGGTGGGAGCGCCGAACAAGAATCACCACCCCGAGAGCCGCCGTCTAGTCCGAGAACCTCTCCTCCAGATCAATGTAACCTGCCCTGGTCAACAGCTCATCCTCGTCGTCCTCCTCCACCAGGGTCCCGTTGAGCGGCGCCGCCTGTCCCTCCATCTCCTCGTAATCCAGGTTAAGCGGCTCCGGCTCCTCCTCCGCCGGCTCTGCGACGGCGACCGGAATCTCCACTTTGATCTTGCCGGCTTCTCTCCGGCGCTTCTGTGGGGAGTGGGGGAGCAGAAGCTGGGCCTCGGGGGCTTCGCAGATGCAGGGGGATGGGTTCTCGTGGAACTCGCCCCGGCCGGGCCTCACCTCCTTGGGGTCGCCCATGAAGCCCTTCTGGTGGGTTTTCACCCTGGCGGCGAAGGCCTCCCAAGTCATGTTCGCCCGGCCCAGGAACAGGGAGTAGAGCTTCTTTGCATTTGGCCGGATCGTCCTCTTGTGCCCAAAGTACCTCCTGAACAAGAGAAAGAGAGAGAGAGAGAGAGAGAGAGAGAGAGAGAGAGAGAGAGAGAGAGAGAGAGCGTTTAAAGAACCCAAAAATTTTAATCGCGGGTTTTAGTTGTTCTATCTAATAAAGCCAATTCAAGATCAATTGCCAAGGATTATAGAGATTAATGATAGCTGGAATTTGGGTTTATCGGGATGATATGATTACCTTCTGCCGGCCAGCATCCGGGCCATGTTCCCGTTGTTGTTGGTAACAAAGACGTCGCTTCCGTCGCAGACGATGAAGTCCAGGGCGGCCATCCGGGAAGAGAACCGGGAGAAGGGGGCGAGCTCCTCCGCACTGGCGAGAGTCTCCTTGGAGTGGATGTTGGGGAAGAGCGCCTTCAGAGGGGCCAACGTCTCCTCACCTCCGTAAACCTCGCCAGATGCCACATAGAGGTGGACGTCCCTGCCAAACCCCAGCGCTCGCAGCATCAGGCCGACCTCCTCTGGGGTCAACGGGCACTTCCCGTGTCTCCTTTCCTTCTCTGGGTTGGTGATCTACAGAGACATTTCCATGGCACAGATACCAGGCACCATTTTTAGAACGTTTCTCTCGACATCAGACTAGACGGTTTCAGATTCAGTAAGCCATCTTACATGCAGGGTTTTCCACCTCTTCCTTATCGCACCGAGCTCTTTCCTCTCCTTCTCTCCGCCGCCATAATAGCATCCAGAGAAGGCGAGCATATCGGGCTCAAACCTGAGATGAAAGCACAGCTCTCTCAGTCAGTAATCTATGAGAGTTTCAAGGACGGAGAGTTACTGTTTCAGGAAATTTTGTGAAGCAAGAATGAAGGGAGCGGAAAGATTTGAGATTATAATCAAGCACATCTTCACCTCAGATGTAAGGCAATAAAGTGATGGCTTCTCATTCTCATTCGCTCGATCAGCAGGTCACCCATTGCTTGTATGGGATGCGTGAACTTCAGGGCATGGTAGTTGACCCGACATCTCAGCTTCTGCAGATCTGTGTCCAACTTGTTGGCAAGTCTGTAGTCAAACTTCGTGAGCTGGACGACCTGGAGAGAAAAGACGTTGAGGGCACGGCTTCATGATGTTTGTAGTGAAGAAAATCAGCCCGTTTCCACATCAACGGAGCCAAGAAGTAGGTGATGACTCAGCATCTGAAAGCATGAAGAAGTGGACTTTCTGCTAAGTCAAGAGCCGGGCAGCCTAATATCTAACTCATGGGCTTTCTGGTGGGCTCATGATTGGGCTTCCTATGAGCCCAGAAGTCAACAATTTGTGGCATGTGGACCGCTGTGCTTTTCAAAAGTGACACTTTCGGCTGACTCAACCTCAGGAGGAGGTTAATTCATATACATATATCTATCTGTATATATATATATATATATATATATACAGATTAGAATGAAGTGGATGATGTTGTTTCTGGTCCACCGAGATTAGAATGAAGTACCCAGTGAGAAGGAAAGATACCAGAAATCTGAACACTTACATGCCTTTTCAGAAGAACAGGTAAAACACGATTTTGATAACATCTTGGAGTACACTTCCTAGGAACGCGCATTGTTTGTGGACTGGCAAACGCTTTTCCACCACGTTTTGGGAGCTCCTTTATAATCTTTACATCTTTCGAAAGAGATGATATGAACCAATCAACATCAAATATTTCCGTGAAGTTGCTGCATGAAACATAACCCGGATCACATGTTCTTGACACTAGAAGTATAAGAACTATAAGCAATTAGAAAATTGTGGATGCCCCAAAACCATGGTTTTTGGTGGGTTTTTTGTTTTCAACAATTTTCCTCCGCCATTTCAAAGAAAAACAGGTTGAATGAGAGAAATCCCTGCCATCTGCTCAGATAGATATGGATGACCGTTTAGAAACCCACCTAGAATCTTTCCAAAATGATTTCTGGTCCAGCTTAGGAACAACAAGTGTTGCATTCAAAATACGTGCTGCAACAACAGCATCTGTTATCTGTAGACCAGAAAAGGTGCAAATTTCGTGAGCAAACCAGGTTAGGTTTTCTTGGTGGTTCAGAAAGTTCACACATTTGAACATTCAGCATGCACACCAACTCATCAAATTGATAGTACAAATATGCCTGTACGATAAAAATCACGTGAAAATACTTTAAAAATCCACTAACTCCAAGTGATGCTGCATTAGGCATTGATCATAATGAATGCATTCAAACTTACACGTGCCTTCTATACATTTAAAATAGTCAACATGATTACAATATGGACATTCACACAGGATCTATACCATAGAACTGCAAGTATAGAAACAAACCGATTTTCACAAAAAGGGATGGATGAAAGCCGAAAATCAAAAATGAAAATCCAAATAAATACCACACAATACGCATAATAAGAGTTTCAATGTCGTAATATACAATTAACTACATATTAACTATATATCAACATACAAAAGACGAGTATATAGAACTATAGATATATGATTCTAGGTGTTACAATATGGCCAAAACAAGTACGTATAGAAAGCAAGAACCTGGAGAAATTTTCAGAAACAATAGAACAACTCTCAGGTGTTCGTAAAGTAATCTCTCTTAATGAACTCCTGAACCACAGATGAAAAGGTATCACACTTTTATGTTCGTCAGAACACAATGTACGCATGTTTCAGTGAAGGCTTTTTGCATGTTCGAGAAAGAACATGTCAATGGCCACCATTATAGCACTATTCATCAGCTGAGCCATGAACCAAGCCATCGAGAGGTAATTGTTCACTTTTCAAGGAAAATTGTGCTTCTATAAATTTATTAAAAATTCATCCATCAGGTTCAAAGTTATCAACCACTGATTTAGATATAGATCGACTGTTAGGAAAGTGGATATGATGGAAGAATCGCAATTAGCAGTAGTGATGGGACGAGCTAGGTGCAAGAAAAAAAGACAGCGGGACACTAGATAAACTAAGTAAATGACAAACATAATTCTTCCTTAAGCAAGAATAACGTAAGTTCAATCAGAGAGCATGGATAACAGGGCAAAGTAAAGCAAAGGAGAATCGTGTATACAGCATTTCAATGCGCTTGGAAAACTAGTTGGTCTTGACTGCAGGTATTTACCAGGGAAAATAACTCAGACTGTCCTGAGAAAATCATAATTGTAAATTTAAAACACCGGATACCAGAACGCATCACATATATATATATCTCCTGGCTCTCTGTCTCTTTCTCGAAAAAGCAAAGGAGAGGTTAATTGTATTTAACCACTCAAAGGATGGTTGTCTTGTCGGTTCCACTGAATTATTTGAAAGGAGTATGTACACTCATCATCATCATCATAAAAATTTAATCCCAATAAATTATTGTGTATTAATAACTTTGAAACAAAAACCGATAAATGCGTCCTGGTTTCACAGCTATCATCAAGGAGAGCTGCATTTTTGATTGGATAGAGGAGATGGTATCCATGCGAATAAGTGGACAACCGAACCTACCCCTGTCCGCTGCTGATTTAAGCCTCCACTTGTAGCAATCATCAAGAACCTTTTGGAATGTGTTACATCCTGCGCTGCTGAAGTGAGGAAACCATGGATTGGTAATCTCATATTGAATAATGAGAAAAACATTAAAGAAAAGAGTTTTCCCACAAGGAAAAGAGCATTCAAAGAATAAAGTTCTTCACTTGAAATGGTAAAAATAAAATAAATCACAAGAATATCCCTTCTGCTGACAGCTACTTCGTGCCGCAAGACAACAAAGAAGAAAAGGGAAAAAGAGCCTAAAGCTCCCTACGAACCTTCACAGACACAAAAGAACGAAAAGAATGAACACATACAGACCGTCAATGTAAAGATGAAACGGTTGAGAAGAGCCCAGTAGCTTAGAAGCATTATCTGTGTCCGCTCTCCTAGTAAAGAACCAAAACGAATGCATATGAAGTTAAACCACGCACTTGGAAATTTACTACTGGCGTTACTGCAGCCATAGAAATACTTGGATATCTTCGAACCCCACAGATCTTGCAACAAGCTCCCACCAACGTTCTGCGCACAAAAATGCGGGGATAATTTCAGAGAGTGCTTCATAGTGAAAAGAATAAGCAAAAGTTATGTGGAAAGAATCGAACCGGTACTTGAAAAATCCTATCCCCGACGGTGTCCCTTGCGGTTTTGGTGCTTCCACCGGGCTAAAGAAAAGCGAAAGAAGACCATAGAACACGGGTGAATGTCGCCGATTTTTTTGCAGAAGCAGTATGCTGGGGAAGGGAATGACATGGATGACATTACCAGAATCAACGAGTGTCGACCAACACGGCTTTGATGGCCATAGCTGGGGAAGGAAGGATGGTCGAGGAGCGGAGGGGCGAGGAAGGAGAGAAGTGCCAGGAGTAGAAGAATCAGAACAGCGGCGGCGAAGATGACCGATCCGGCGGAGGCGCCCGAAATCAGACACCGGACTTGATGGCGCCGACGATGGGGCGCCATCCAGGGGGACCGGCCACGCAACCCCGCCAGCTCTACCTGTACTCAAATCACACAATGAGGCGAAGGTGGACCGGTGAGATCAAAACACCCTCTTTCCCGCGCTGCATCATCCTCGGGGACGAGGAAGTGCACGTTGGACGCGTTGATTGCGTCATTGCGGGCGGCAATCTATGCTACCCTGAAGAAGCCAATAAAAAAATTAAATCACCGCTGGTTATTGACCTCCACGCAGATCTCAAGACAGGGGGAGGGCCTCCACCATGGCACCGCCGACGGCCGGCATTCCGAAGCTATACTACAACACAGTGGGGCGACTCCCAATTCAGTGTCCACCCGACCACAGCTATTGAAAAGGAAATCAGACCGAACTCCAAGCGCAGCGGCGGGGGCGGCGGCGGTGATGGTGGCTCCGCCGAGGGCATCTCCTCGCCGAGAGCTACGTTCTACCACGGTGGGACGGCCTCGGCGGCGGTATCCTCGTTTTCCCCTCCTCCCCTGTTTGACCGAAACGGCCCCGCCATCACCGCCCCCTCCTCTTCTCTCCACCAGAACGTCAGAGGCGGATAGATAAGGAAGGGGGCTTTTAGGTCATTCTACTTATCCGAGGCGTGCCCCGGTGACGGGTTACCCGAGGGAATCCCGTGTATTTCTGGCTGGACCGGAGCCGGCTCGGCCCGGATGCGGGGCTAACGTCACTGCTGTCGGATTACCACCCCGGTTTCACGCGAGCAGATGTCGTGGGTGGTGACCTGGCATCTGAGCTATTGGCAGGGCTTCCCACCGCGGTCGGTCGGCCATTACAGTCATCTATTACCCTTATTGTCTTGCCACGTGTCTTTCTGACGCCTCAAACTTTTGGGTGGGCCCACCGAGTCAGGGCTTAAAACCCGGTTTCCTAGTTCTTCTCCGAACTCGGACCGAGTCGAGGACCGTCACAATCGGTGTGGAGCCCGCGTCACCTCTCGGTGGAGACTGCAAAGGCACTGCTGGCTCCACTCCATTTGGTCTCCCATTTCACCGGAAGTGGCTGACTATGGGTTTTGAAACCTTCCTGAGTTGCCCACTGGGCTGCGACTCGGGACTGACTCGTCCGAGTCTCATTCATAACACCTCTCCCTGAAAGCAGTATTCTTATTTGGCACCCACTTGACGAGAACCTGCACCATTCTGAGCTCCCGCTTTGGGAAACCATGGGATTATCCGTCATATATAAGCAATGATATTAATTACGAGGGTTAAAATGTAAAATAAATAATCTATTTCACCACTTATTTTTAATGAAAAAATCGAATAATATCATAATTAATACCAAAATATTTGGGCTGTGTATCTAAGATATCTCTCGACAAAAGCTATCTCGACAAAAGCTATTCCTCTACTAGGTAGGCAAGTAGCACTCCTCTGTCTAGTGATACATAACTGAGCCAACTGCGTCCTGGTCTGAGCGAGACTCCACAACAGAAGAGCAAACATTTCAAGGGAATCTGACGTGATAGAGAGAGTGAGAGTCCGGTCCAATGGGCTCCCTCTCTCTCCCCGTCGAGCAAACACGGAGCCCAAATGGCGGATGTAGCAGAGAACGGGGGATGAGGAGGTTTTTGGGTTGCTTCTTCCTCTACCCTCCATGGGCCGTCGCCCAGCTGAATGTTCTGGAGAACTACCAACAGAGCGCCATTGGAAGATGAAGAGCCAAAGCATGTAATTGTCACTATGGAATAGAGTATATGGTTTAATGTGGCTTGCCTTTTTTCAGGTTGTCACATTACCGAGGTAGCTATGATGTGCTTATAAAATATATGGCTAATTCTCTTCATTCGGGGAAACTCGGAGTAACCCATTCTACCTTTGTTTCACCTGAGAGAGATAGCTTCCAAAGAAGATTTCTTAAGTTAGTGAGTGCATCATAGGGTTAAGATCATAGATTTATTTTCTGAGTTCTTGAGAAGTGATCTCTTGTACTACTTATTGCATCTAGTAAAGTTTTTATTTTCGTCCGTGTATGTAGGAGGCTAACCTTCGAATCATATAAAATCTTTGTGTCGGTACTCTTGTTGTGAGTTATTCTTTTCTCTATCTTACTTTGCATCGTGAGCATCACTTTCGAAGTTCATTTAAGACATCTTGTTCTAATAGAGTAAAGTTATTTTCATGATGGCTCTCCCTCTCTATTTCTGTAGCATCCATCATCGTCAATGGGGATGTTTAGCTCTGAGACTGTATTATTACTGCCAATGGTGTAGAAAGCTCATCCCTGATCAAGCCCTGGAACCCCCCCCCTTCCTTCCCTGGAGCCTACGACGAGGTGCATGGGTATGCTACATGCTTGGCTTACATGGTCAAGAAGGGGAGCTCACAGGGTACTTCTACTACTACTTTCAGGTTGTCAACTCACAGGCTATGTATGCGATGGGTACGTGGATCCTACTTTGCAGTGAGTTGGCAGTGGGGTTTAGGTGGCCACGCCTCCTTGGTGGGGGCTATCAAGGGGGGACAGCGTCCCTTGATATAAACATAGGAGCATTGCTATAGTTCATCTCTAATGGGGTTAGCCTAAACTCATGATACTCGGAGGGGTGGGTGTGGGGTTTGCCACCACTTGTAATGAGAGATGATTTTTCTCTCCAAGAACGAAGAGTAAGTGTTTATGCAACCGTAGACGTAGGAGGATTCTTCGCTGATGATTCTCTCCAAGTAAATTTGATGTGTCTTTGACTTTACTTTCTCTATCTCCAATTTATGTATTCATTTATGCTGCAGGAGGAGGATACTGGTATCCTAACAATATACGCATATAATTTTCAGGCCTCATATGAAGAAAGCAGGTGCCAGAAATCATATACGCATTAAACTGTATCAAATTAGAACAAAATACATTGTTTTAGAAGAAAATCCAAAGGAGAGAGAAAGTGGGTCTCGACCCATATTGATATGGAAAGAGAAAGCGTGTCTACATAGTCAAATCAAATAAAATTTAAAGAGAGAGAAAAACAGATTATATGTTAGAAATCTTGACACACTATAATATCTACGATATGTTAGAAGATCAAAGATATGTCAATCTTTTGTACTAACACGTTTTTATACATTGTCCAAAGCTGCTTAAATTGACAATCTTACAGTGTAACTAAATCTTACGTTGGGTCTACCCACATGTCAACTTAAATAATACTTGACCAAAAGATCTTTGAAAGATTTGATCTCTAATGATCTAAATAGCCTTTTGGAAGATCTTTCAAGAAACACATCAACAATCAATGATGTCACCCTAAATATTTTCAAATCTAGTTGGAATCGATGAGATAATTTTCTCTCCAAAAGAAAAGAGCTTGTTGGACTGGACATAGGAAGGTTTTCCAAACCACATAAATCTAGTATGTTTCTTTTTATTTACTCTCTTTATATCTTGTCATTGTACCTTTTTATATTGTGACAGGAGCGAGTGCTCATCTTCCTGACAGGAGTGAGAGTGCGTATTTTAGAGAGAAGAAACCTTCTTCGTGTGGGGATCATCCCAGTGCCGAGAATTTTCATGGAACCGGAGGAGGGGATGGAAATAGATCGGTTGAAAGTGAGACAAAATATATCATGACTACTTATGCAGTATCCAATGTGAGAAGCGAAGAGGAGGATGGGAGAGAGAAAGAGAGACAGAGAGACAGAGAGGGATGAGTCATGTCGGGGCTCAAGAATGTTCATGGAATTTGCTAAGAGTAACCCCAACCTGTCTTTGACAAAGATAGGGGTCGTTGGCGGTTGATACTCACGTAAAGGATCAACTTGCCGGAAAACTTCCTTATTTTAGTAATGACGTTGACCAACATTCTACAGTCACATTTTGTAAACGTCAGGATTTGTCAACTACCGTGGATGACCTTCCTTGGAGGACAGACCAACCGGTCACCAGGTTCTTTTCTCTCACATTTGACATCTGGTAACGTATGCTGGAAAGCTTGTCCATTTCCTTTCGCCATCTCGCCAGCCAATTACATAGGTCAACCCATACGCGTATATATTGAGAGAGAGAGAGAAAGAGGAGTGCGAGAATCATTCCAGTCACCCAGAATTTTCGCGGAGGCAGTACACGGTAGGCAGGGGGGGTTGAGTAAGAGGGGGTAGTGGCGTCCTGGCATGAATCTGGATACCTTCTTCGATGCTTCCGACTTCCAGGAGACGAGCATAAAAGGGTAACAGGAGCAACTGGTATTTCCAGAATAACCAGAGAACAAGGCAGTGAGGGCAAGGATGGCACGCTCCGGTGGCCCGGTGATTCTTCCACTCCCACTGCTCTCCCTTTTCCTCCTCGTCTCTGCCTGCGTCGCTCAACCCCCACCCAAATTCCGGTGCACTTCCAAGTCCAAGTGCCAGGCCTTGGTCGGCTACGTACCCCCAAGGGAGACCACCTATGAGGCCATCAGGGGCCTCTTCGAGGTGGGTTCCATCTACGACCTTTACGGAGCCAACGGCCTCAACGAAACCACCCCAACCTCGACCAAGGTCCCCGCCAACACCACCGTCCGGATCCCCTTCACCTGCACCTGCAGAAATGGGACCGGCGTCTCCGACAGGCGGCCGGTCTTTGCTGTGAGGAATGGTGACTCCCTACAGGCAATCGCCCAGGAGATCTTCGGCGGGTTGGTGACCTACCAGCAGATCGCCGCCGCGAACAGCATAGGGAACACTTCCCTGATCAACGCGGGGCAGAGGCTGTACATCCCTCTCCCCTGCAACTGCGATGAAGATAGCTATAACACGATTCACCTCGCCCACATAGTGAAGGCGGGGAGTACCCTGGCGGAGGTCTCCAGCGAGTTCTGGGCGTCGCAGGCGTCGCTTATCAGCCTCAATAACATATCCGATCCCAAGAACCTGCTCGCGGGCCAAGTCCTCGACGTGCCCCTAAGCGGTAATTGTCATCTCTCTGGCTTCTTCTCTCTCAAAAGTTTCTTCCCTACTAACTAAAATCCTGACGGCTCACTCAATGAGAACTGCGGCGGCAGCTTGCGGCTTGTTCTCAGTCCGCCCCAATTCCCCCGACTTTGGCCTGCTTGTCCCCAACGGTAGCTACGTCTTGACTGCCGGCAATTGCATCAAGTGCATCTGCAACCGCCCAGCGGCGGAGTGAGAACTTCTCCCCACCCCTCCCCCCACCCAAACAAGCCCTCGCGCCTTTGTTCATGTTTACTTTACATATCGGACAAGTGACCATTCCGTGTGTACTTCTTTAGGATGATCTGTTTCGATTCTCCAGCATCAGTCGACGATGTTAGTAGAGGATGCAACAGACAGCGCTGCTACTCAGAGGACTATCCCGGCGGTGAGCTCGAGTTTGGAACCCTTTACGTATCCTCATGTACGGCTACCCAGTGCCTCTACGCCGGCTACGACGACCGAGAAATCTTGACTGATACCATGACCAGACGACGTACCAAATGCGGTAAGCTACACAACTCCGGGCCGGTTACGGCTGTTGCTCTGGTTTCTCTTTTACTTGAACACGGTTGCCCAAGTCGGCGGCGCGTCAACCTAATTCTTCCTCCTCTATCCGGTCTCGGCTTTGGGAAGATATACACGATTCGCCTGGACGGTCGGGAGCGCGATCCGTGAAGCGGGAGTTTCTTCTGCGCTGGGCTCTCCTGCTGCTTCTGCTCCTCTTCGCCGTCCTGTAGGGCTGCAGCGAAGGACAAAGCCTTGTCGGTGTTGTGAATAACGACACATTGACTTCCTTACCCGTGGAATCGGGACTGGTCTTCTGCTTCTACTTTTGCATTTGGTTCACCTCCTCGTGTGATGAGTACATCTCAATCACGTCGACCGTGCTTCGTTTCGTTTCGTTCTCAATGTGCCTCGTTCATCGGCGCGCTTCCAATAATTACTATCGTGTACCTAAAAAAATCAATGGATGCCCAGAATCCACCGTCCGGATTCGCCGTTGACCAAGTCACACTCTCCCACGTTATCGAGCATCTTATCAATCAGTACGAAATTACTTTAAGGTTTCAGAAAGGCATCAACTCTACTCAACGTAAACTAGTTATTGGTTATATATTTGAACGCTTTGGACCTAAAATGATGGTTGCACTACATTTAAGCTCCACAAGCAGAAATGAAACAAGTCCGTTTGAACACGAAAATCATGCTGGACAGGTTCCATCCTGACAAGTGTGAGCACATACGTTTGATGATGACTAGGCGTTCTGCTGAATATTAGTCCATTCTGAGCTAGATTTGATAACTTTTCTGCCGATACGTGACATATATCGGCGGTAGAGTAAATCACCCCAGTTTCTGAGTTCATTCTTCTTTATGGCACGCATCAAAATCCCCAATCTCGTCCTCCAAATTTCCATCCCATCTTCCTCCGCCGTGACTGCCGCGGAAGGGATCAGCTGATCCCGCGGAAGTGGTCAACTTCTCATGAAAGCTTCTTAAATGGTATTAATGGCGTTGACCACCAGCCTTGCCATTTTCGTAATCGTCTTTGCTGTTCGATTCCTCCGGGTGACAGCTTTGTGACAAACCAATCGCACGTTGACCAAATGCTTCTTGTCAACTTTGGGTTCAGAAGGCCATCGGAGATTTCGCCGCCAACGCATCTTGCCGGAAGCTGAAGATTTTGTTTATTATTAGCATGTTCTTCCTTTGTTTAAGGTTTCCATTACTTTACTTACTTTGCTTTGCTTTGTAAGGTGTTTAAAAGGGCCCGTCTCGTCTAGGTTAGAGGACATTTTAGTGATTCATTTCTTTTTCTCTCCACGGAAGCTCCACCGTCTGTTGCTGGTTGTGAGACACCGTCCCCCCGGTAGGGTTGGTCCCGAGGACCCCGTGCTCCCGGTTGGAGTATTATTGCCGTCTCCATTTCCTTCCACCCCCCCATTCGTCATCGTTGCCGCCAGCCCTTCTTCCGTCCGCCACCGCTGTTGTCGCCCCTCCAACACCACCGTAAGCCTTCCGCCGCCCACCGCTGACCTCTCCCTCTATCGCCACCGTGCTACCGAGAGCTCGCCTGTACCGTCGCCTTTTCCCTCCATCATCACCGTTCAGCCTTCCGCCAGCCACTATCACCCCGTTCAGCTCTTGACCTCGATGTCTATACATTGGAGGAGGCCTATAAGTTGGCTGTAGATTTAGATAATTTTCAACGACCTTCGCCTCCCGCAACCCACCCTCCATACACTGCCTAGCCGATTTCCGGTCTGCACCTCAGAATCATCAAGACCTGATCATAGTACTATGCAAGCCCCTACCTCCGAGTGCCACCTTACACGCTTTATTGATACAAGAGTACCTGACAAATAAGCGATCTATCAACGAGCCACCGAGAGTATCTATCGAGTGAGTTGCTACAAGTGTCGAAGATTCGGTCATATGACAGCTCAATGTCTCAGATGTGATCTTTACATTGATGAACTCGACCATTACTATCATCCTTCTCACATTTTGTTAGTCGAGACTCATGAATTAGAAGATGAAGTCTATATTCCCGACCTCTAAGTTAGCCTATGTATTTTTCGAGGAGTTGAGCCTAAGTATTATGAGATGTATCTTGACACAACCAGCTCGAAAAGAGAACCTAGGTGGATAACTATCTTCCAAACTGTTATCAAGTTTGGACCAGCTATTTGAAAACTCATCATAGATAGTGGTAGTAGTATTAATACCATATCCTAAGATGTCATCACTAAATTATGATTCCTCTTGATATATCACCCTAATCCTTATAAGATATCATCGGTGAACTCCACACACATTTCTATCCAAAAATAGTGTTTAGTCTCCCTCAAGGTTAACTTCTATGAGGATGAGAACCGTTGTGATGTACTATCATGTTACTAGTATTATTTTAGGATGACCATTGTTATATGACCGAGATGTCACATATACAGATAGAATGAACAAATGTTCATTCACATATAAAGAGTGAGGGGCGGTGATCAACTCTACTCAACGTAAACTAGTTATTGGTTATATATTTCAACGCTTTAGACATAAATTGATGGTTGCACTTCATTTAAGCTCCACACAGCAGAACTGAGGCAAGTCCCTATGAACATGAAAATCATGCTGGACATGTCCCATCCTGCCAAGCGTGAGCGCATACGTTTGATGATGTCTATGCGTTCTTCTGAATATTGGCCCATTCAGAGCTACATTTGATAATTTTTCTGCCGATAGGTGACATACATCGGCGGCAGAGTAGATCGCCACAGGTTCTGCGTTCATTCCTTGTTAGAATCTCAGACCTGTTGGTTCCTTCCTCTTCTCTCCCTCCTTGAGAGAGAACCGCAGAAGACACAAATAGTGAGGGAGAGAGAGAGAGAGAGAACGGGAAAATAAAGTTGTAAAGAAAAGCTTCATTAACCCTAAAGTGTCTCGGATACAGCCTATTTATACGCCCTTTCTAATCGGGTCCGGATCTACCTAAAAAGCAGAAAGTCGTCTTCTAACATTCCTCTTTATGGTACGCATTGTTATCCCCAATCTCATCGTGTCATTTTCTCAACCTGTCTTCCTCCACCGCCCCGGCTGCCGCTGGTAAGCTTCCATAGAGCAGGGATCAGATGACCCCGCGGAAGGGATCAACTTTCTTACGAAAGCTTCCTAAATGGTATTAGTGGCGTTGACCACAAGCCTTGCCATTTTGGTAATCGTCTTTGCTGTTCGATTCCTCGGGATGACAGCTTTTGGACAACCGAACGCACGTTGACCAAATGCTCCTCTCTTGCCATTGACATTCGTTTGCAGATACCATGAAGCTTCTCCGCTTCCGCTCTTTGTCCCATTAGCTCAAGTTATAGACAAACATTGATATATATGTATTGACCTAGAGAGAGAGGACGAGCGAGAGAGATAGAGGTAGAGAGAGGGAGAGAGGGAGAGAGAGAGAGAGAGCAGAGGTTGACTAACAGGCGGCCTGGTGCCTGCCTTAAAAGCACTTCTCCCGTTCAATTTCTCCGATGGTTCCAACGCCCTGGAAGCGACCATAAAAGGGTGAGAGGAGCACGAAGTGTCTCAAGAAGAAAAGGACAAAACGACACTGAAGATGATCCGATACGCTGGGCCGGTTGTTCTTCCATTCCCCCTGATCTTCCTCTTCCTCCTCGTCTCGACCTGTGCCGCTCAGCCCCCTCCAAAATTCCCTTGCAGCTCCAAGTCCAAGTGCCAGGCCTTGGCCGGCTACGTCCCCCCCAGGGAGACCACCTACGAGGCCATAAGCGCCCTCTTCCAAGTCGAATACATGTACGACCTCTATGGAGCCAACAACCTCGACGTAGCCACCCCGGATTCTACCAAGGTCCCCGGCAACACCACCGTTCGGGTCCCTTTTACCTGCGTCTGCGCCAACGGGATCGGGGTCTCCCCCAGGCGGCCGGTCTACACAGTGAAGAAGGGTGACTCCCTGGAGGCGATCGCCCGTGAGACCTTCGGCGGATTGGTGACCTACCAGCAGATCGCCATCGCGAACGGCGTCGCGAACGCCTCTCTGGTCAGCGCTGGGCAGCGGCTGTTCATGTTGTGAACGGGAGCCTTGCACGTGGCTTCCCCATTCCCCTATTGTGAGGTAATGCGGGATTTGGTAATGCGGAATTTGGTAATGCGGGATTTCCTGCATAACGCACGGTACTGGCCAGTTTTGGCCAGCTAGTTATTTCTTACAGTTATTCCTTTCCCCCCTTTGTTTTCTTATTTAAAGAGGGCTGTAAGAGTTTTTCAATAGCGAGAAAGTTTTCCTTGTTCCTCCTGCTGTTTTTCCTGTGACTCGTGAAGTGATCTCGCCGGCGACGTCTTAACTGCCGTCGTCTCTCCGGCGAGTTTCTAACAGTTCATTCCCCTCCCCTGCAGCTGTGATCAGGTGGATTACAACACGGTACACTTGGCCCACGTAGTGGAGAATGGGAGCACCCTGGCGAATCTCTCCAGCAAGTTCGGGACGTCGCAGGCATCGCTTATCAGCCTCAACAACATATCCGACCCCAAGAATCTGCTCGCCGGTCAAGTCCTCGATGTGCCCCTAAGCGGTGATTACCATCTCCCTCGCTTCTTCTCTCTCAAAATTCACTTCCCACAAGACTAAAATCTGGACGGTTTGCTCAATGACGACTCCGGCTGCAGCTTGCTTCTCTCCCCAGAGAATGTCCTATTCCCATGAGTTTTATATGGTTCTCCCCAACGGCAGCTACGCCCTGACCGTCCGCAAGTGTATCAAGTGCACCTGCAACAGCCCAGCCGCGGAGTGAGGACCTCTTTCCCTTCAAACCCTTCAACCCCCCTCCTCCACATCTCTTGATCACTGGAAGGACATACGACCTTGCTTATGTATCCCCAGGATATTCTTAAATATCCTTTCTCATGTTTCTTCAGGATGTCCTTATCCGGGACCGTGTCTTCAGATTTCATCAAGGAGATATGCACGTCGAAGGGAAATCCCCAGGATGAGGTGGAGTTTAGCCCGACTTTCGGCAAGGAATGTAGGGCCACAAAGTGCCTCTACGCCCGCTACAACGACCCCTCCATATTCGTCACCACCGTTACCAGCCGATATAGCAACTGCGGTGAGCTGCACAACTCTGGCCGCTGAGGGCAGTTCCTTTTGTTTCTCTTTTACGTGGAGATGCTGGCTCTACGAGCACGACGGGCTGACCTAATCCTACCTCTCCTCTCCCTGTTTTCTGTTTGGGGAAGATCAAAGTTTCTCGTCAAGACGCTCCGGAGCTCAATCCGTGGAACACGGCCTTCTTCTGCGCTGGCCTCGCCTTGTGCTTCTGCTCTCCTGGGGCGTGTCTCTACTCCCGTTCAATTTACTCTAGGTCACACCGGAAGGACGAAGCCTCGTCGGTAACGTGAATAATGACAACTTGATTTTGTGGACAGAGAAAATAATAGATTAAAAATGAAAAGAAGGGCGGAAGCTCTCTACGTATAAGGGTGAGGAGGAGAGAGAGAGAAAGTGGGCCATACCTATAAATACAAAAAAGATAAATATATATATATATATATGTATCTTTATTGATTTATTATCTTATAGTGAAATTTAGTAAAAATAATGTAGAAGTGTGCGTGTTGAATCTTCTTAGCAATTGAATGTCTGGATGTCCCAAGCTAATTATTAATTGAAACATATGGTGAATGTTCAATAATAGTATTAGACTCTCCGCTCACTAAGGCCCATTATTTATCTTTCTCGTCTCATCTATATAATTCTCTTCTGTATAATCTACTCCTCTCCTTTCATTGAACAGGAGTATAGATTCTACGGTTTACTCTCCTGTGTCAACATGGTGTCAGAGCCCTAGGAATCCCTCGTCGGTGCGCCGCCCGTCTCAGGCGTGCCGCTCTCCTCCTCGCCGGCCTCTTCCCTCCTCGGGCGGCTCTTCAGCGTCGCCGCTCTTCCCTCTTCCGGCGTCGTCATCTCTGTCGTCGCTCTCCTTCTCCTTTCGGCGCTGCCCTCTTCGCCTCCGCTTCCGCCCCTCTCCAGGCCGCCGCGCCGCCGCCGTCCACTCCTTCAGGCCGCCATGCCGCCGCCGCTTCCCTCCCCGGTGCACTGCCCTCCTCCGGCGGCGCCCTTCTCCTCTCGGCGGTGCTAGCCTCCCGACGCCGCGAGCGTCGCCTCCCGACGCCCCCGAGCGTCGCCTCCCGATGCCCCGTGGGTCGCCTCCCAATGCCCCGTGCACCGCCTCTCGGTGCCCCGCGCGTCATCTCCCAGCGCCCCGCGCGTCGTCTCCCGGCGCCCTACGCGTCATCTCTCGACGCCTCGTGCGTCGTCTCCCGACGCCTCGTGCGCCGCCTCCTGACGCCTCGTGCGCTGCCTCTCGACGGCCCCCGCGCACCATCTCCCGACGCCTCGCGCGTCGCCTCGCAACCCCTCGTGCGTCGCCTCCCGGCGCCCTACGCCGCCTCTCGACGCCTCGTGCGTCGCCTCCCAACGTCTCGCGCGTCGCCTCCCAACGCCTCGTGCGTCGCCTTCCGGTGCCCTGCGCCACCTCCCGACATCTTGCGCGTCGCCTCCTGACGCCCTCGCGCCACCTCTCGATCCCCATGCGTCGCCTCCAGCGCCCTACGCCGCCTCCCTATGCCTCACAACGTCATCTCGTCTCAGCCGCCTCCTACACTAGTTCTTCGGCCGACTGTTGCTCTTCATATGATCGGGCCAGCTACTCATCATCTAGTGGACGTCTTCATGAAGAGTCTGGCCTGCATCTCGTACGGGTCAGCTTGAGGGGAAGTGTTCGATAGTCGGACTTCCGGCCCACTAAAGTCCATTATCTATCTCTCTCTTCTCATCTTTCTTTCTTTTTCTTTTCTATATAACCTCATGTACTCTTGTCTTCCTTAGAGAAGGATGATGGATTATAGGGTTCCATCTCCTATGTCAACATGGTATCAGAGCTCTAGGGATCCCTCATCACCATCCTCTTCTTTGGTGTGCTGCCTATCTCCGGTGCGCCGCCTATCTCCGGCGCACCGCTCTCCTCCTCGTCAGCCCCTTTCCTCTTCGGGCGGCTCTTCAGCGTGGCCTTTCTTTCGGTGTCGTCGTCTTTGTCGTCGCTCTCCTTCTCTTTTGGTGCTACCCTCCTTGCCTCCGCTTCCACTCCTCTAGGGCGTCATGCCAACGCCGCCTCCCAACACCCCACACGTCACCTCCCAACGTCCCACGTGTCGCCTCCTGATGCCTCACGCATCGCCTCCCGGCACCCCGCACAGCTCCGGGGACATCTCCTCCCAAAAAAACGTCATCTCATCTCAACCACCTCCTATATGCTAGTTCTTCAACGAGCTGTCGCCATTCTTTTGATTTGGTTCACTACTCCACCAAACTCCACCATGGTAATGCTCATTTCGTGGACGTCTTCACGAAGAGTTTGGCTGACATCTCCTACGATGTCATGTGTATTAAGCTGGACATATTCAACTTATATGTTCTAGCTTGAGGGAAAGTGTTCAATAATAGTATCAAACTCTCGGCCCACTAAGGTCTATTATCTATCTCTCTCTTCTTATCTCTCTTTCTTCTTCTCTTTTATATAATCTCATGTACTCCTCTTCTTCCATTAAGGAGGATTATAGATTTCAAGGTTTCCTCTCTTATGTCAACAGTGAACAAATAATGTTAGTTTCTATTTTCTCTTTAATAAAATGATAATATATTTCCATGTGATGAATTTGATCATGTTATACTAAATCATGAGCTATGTTAATGGTTGATTTTTTATCAAAATATAACGATGAATTTCTGTCACTTGATTGTCAAAGTCTTGTAGAATACCTTTCACATACTAGTCATAAATTATTTGCATCATAATTCAAAACTCAAATTCAACACTCAATCTCATCAACATTTATTGTTTCTTACTATGCCATATAATGAGATTGTCATAAATAAAGTGTAGTAACCTAAAGTAGATTTTCTACTGACAATATAACCTTGGTAATCAAGATCAATGTAAACTTTAATGTCCATTCTACTATTTTTCTTGAATAATATAATTCCACCAAGTGCTTCCCTCAAATATTGTAGAACTCTCTTAGCTACAAGAAGATGAACTTGTCTTGCATTGTCCACTTATTGACAAAAGATGCTCACTATATGTGAGATGTCCATTGAAGTCTTTAATACATTAGCATATCTACATGACTACTCTCTTTCATATTACTAAATTTGCAGACCATATCAATCAAAGCACTCATGAGTTTACAACAATTTTTTTATATCTTGTAAGATATCTAAGATACATTTTTATTGTGATATAAATATACCTTATTTTGAATATGCTACTTATGTGCCTAAAAATATCTTCATTTTTATAATATATGTGTTAGATGTCTTTACTAGTCAATTGCCTAAAAGTTTCTTTTCCTTATTATATTTTTCAATCATAATTATATCATCTCTATGGTAGTGAGTGTTTGATAAGTAGTGTGTGGTCCATAGAGCAATTTCGTACCCTAACTCCAAGTGATGTAGGTATTCCTTGAGTTGTAATTAGTAACACATATTCCCTCTTCCTATTCTTTATTCTCATCCATAATCTTAGTTTCCCCCTCATGAGGCATTTTATCAATGTAAAATGTATACTCATTACAAGTAACATCAATCAAAATGGAAAATTTCTTTAATAAAGGATGATAATATTTATACCCTCCTTTGTGTTTTAGTACCCAATAAACATGTATACTTGTGCTCATGGATCGTTTGCCTTTGTTTTAATTATGGTTGTGAGCAAAATATACACAACCAAATACCCTAAAGACTAAATTACTTTTAAGTTAGGTGTTTAAATCAAATTGAGATCTCTCTCATAAACTTTTAAAGCCTATAACTCAAGTTGGTAACCTATAAATGAGGTATATGACTGTTAGGACCACTTCTCCCCAAAAATTCTTAGGTACATGACTATAGAATAGAAGTGGTCTTATCACTTTTAAGATACGCCTATTTTTCTTTTTCACTACTCCATTTCATTATTATGGACATAAGGATTAATAAATTATCCCATCCCTTTACAAATGTTTTAGATCTTAAATTATTTGATCTAAACTTTTTAATCTTAGTCCTAAATTATATTTCATTAATAAATAATTTTTTTATACTTTACTCACTTATGATTTTTTATTCAATAAGAAAACCCTTCTATCTCATGAAAACCATCAATAAATGTAATCAACCATCTCGCTCTCAAGATATTGAGAATAGATAGTGATAGTGATAGTGTTAAAGCTAGGTTTTTTATGTTTAAATAGTTTTATTATTTTATTTTTGTGTGTTAACTTGCAAAATTACTATAATAATATATTGTTAATTTTAGAAGTCTTAATTGATACTTAGTATAATTTTTTATTATTATAAATATATAAGAATAAAATATAAAAATATCATTGCTTGTTGGCAAGCCAACATTCAACAATTGACCTAAAGGGGCCCTGCACTCAAGTGGATACACCTAGACTAGGAGAGCCATGGGCCCTGCACTCTCATGCACGTGTGTGCACGAGAATGGACCACCTTTTACCTTCCTTAAAGATAGTCTTGGGTATTATTTTATTTTGGGAGAAGGAATCTCTACATTAAGAATGTAGCTTTCATATAAATTCAATTCAATCACTTAAAAACTTTTGATGTGGGGCTAATATTTTTCTTTGTTTCTAGGTTGTGGTTTGGAGCGCAATGTGATCCAATGGCACTCAGTAGGCCACATTACTAGATAAGCCAAATCTTACAACTGATGATTGCCATGATACTCAAAGTGTAAGTAATTCATTGACGGTTCGTGAATTCGACACCACTCAACATGACATGACTAGAAATGATGATCCAATGGTAAGCAAAGTGCCATAATACTAGAAACTTAAGTTTTCAATTGGTAGTGGTTTTTGACGAGTTAATCCAATATTGCTCAACATGCCATGTAGCCAAGCATATCTGATCTAGTGGCAGGCACGTGAAGTGTCACAATATTGAGAACATAAGTTCTTTCACATACCATCATTAGGGATATATAGATAATAATCAATTATTATCTAGTAAAATAGATTATTAATTATCTTTAAAAACCTGACAGTAGTTGCGAATATGACATATGTTCTTCCCTCCTTTCACACAATCAATACCTTTGACAATCAGCATGTTTGTTCCTTCCTTTCTTGATTACACTCAACACTTCTAACAAGTGGTCAGTTCTTCCCTTCTCCACCCAAACAATGGTGACAGTCTGGTCGGCCCTTCTTTTCAGTAGATCTTTCCAACAAGTGGCACAACACTTATGAACAATACTTCTGCAATTCTAGTATGATGTGACATGTCTAGATAAAACCAAGCCATCACATCAATGTCTATAGTTATCCAAGAGATAGACTAAATTAGGGCAATGATTTATTTCTTATTTTTAGAATTTATTTATTTATTTTAATATTTATTTATATTTTATGATAAGTTATTTCTATTTAATGCATGTTTCGATTGAAATTAGTAAAACTAATTCAAATCTTGATAAATGATCTTTATTCCTTTTCTAAAACTCATTTAAGAGTAAACTAAGATCATTTCTAACTTGTTTTCTATTGATTTTCACAATTGAATCTTAATGTATTTATATTCCTAGTATTTCATGAATAATAAGTATTTTTTTATTTTTAAATCCAAAATAAGTGAAATTAAAGGTTGCTTAATGATCATTGAACTACTAAAAAAAGATGGAGACATTCTCAAGCACACATTCATTTGAGAATTGTGGTCATCATGAAAACAAATTAATTGTGTTTCTTTGTATCTTTATTATCATCTTATTTCTCTCTCCCCCTCTCTTTCTCTCTCTCAATCAATCTCCCTCTCTCTCTCTCTCTCTCTCTCTCTCTCTCTCTCTCTCTCTCTCTCTCTCTCTCTCTCTCTCTCTCTCTCTCTCTCTCTCTTATGAGACCTTTCTTTCTCTCTATCTCACATAAGATTTCTCTCCTTTCTCTTTCTCTCTCTTTTCTTCCTTTCTCTACTCCCCTTCTTTTATTCTTCTTACCTCACCCTTCTATTTTATTATTTCTTTAAATAATAATAAATATTAAAAATTTCTCTATGTATAAACTAAATTACTTTTTCACGATAGATTAATCAATCTCCTTATGTTTGACTTGAGACTTACATCTATACTAATATTTTATGAAGTTTTAGTTATAAATATTATTAAATAATGAACATTTAAATACAATGACAAGTGAACATCAAATAGTTAATCATCACTATCAATGAAGTAATAGATAGAATACTTCTCTCACTAGTCAATAGGAATGAAGAGTATTTCTGTTTCACAACCTCTCAAATATCACATTTTAATTTTTTTAGATTTACCCTAAAACTAAATATAGAAACATAATATGTATCATTTCAAGGGACATATACCGAAGATGACTTAAATGATACAACTCAAATTCTTGATCTCTATTGACACAAAAGTTTAATGTCCTAATTGGCCATGTGGTGGCATAGTACGACTTTGACTCAATGCTTTGAGATAGTAGAGTCATTTGCATTCTTTAATATATAAAATTTTCT